TATGAGCAAAAAGGGTCAGACAAATAATGGCACATTATCGTGCTACGTGGTACAATTCACAACGAATATATGAAATTTCTGAATCTTTGCACCAAGTCAAGCAGTACCAGTATTCATTCAGCAAGAATACAAGTGCTACAAGGTGATGGAGAATTATAGTAGTAATAGGAGGCTCTAACTCACCTCTCTCGAGCCATGATAGAGTAGAAATTAGGGTAGAAATTAGACAAGACTAGAAATGCCTAATTAAGATGATGAATAAAGTACAACTAATTGATACATATTGAATTTCAAGCTCGGAAGATAGAGAATATACCTTGTTTTAAATACCCATTGGATGTTCATAAAATTGAGTATTCACAAAAACCTTGATAAATTCCCTGAAGGAGAAATAATATAGAAAAGGATGATGGTGAAAATGTGTAATGGCTGGTATAAGAAGGACAACCTTCCAGTCTGAATGGACCCAGTTCTGAATGGACATTGGTCCACCCCACTGGTGTACACCCGTGAATGTCAGTCTGGAATACAGTTGGGTTGTCTGAGCACAGTGCAATAAAACAGACATCGTAATCAATTCTGAGGACAGAGAGCCACAAAAACAACTAAGCCCTTAAAACAACTCAGGTCAAAGAAGAAGTCCAAGCCGAATGTGAATAAGAGTCTACATAAGGATCTGTGGGACGGCCAAGGAAGGGCTAAGAGGAGAAGCCTAGGCATAAATAAATTCATGTCTCCTTTCAGTTTTCATATTGTTTCTCTTATCCTTGTAATCCTCTCATGCTACTGCTGTGCATTTCTTCTCATTTCAAGCTACCTCAGAGTGTCTTGAAGGAATAGATTTCTGTGGTATACTCCATATGGCAACTCTGTTTTTAGTTTTTTTTTTTTTTGAAGGAACCTTGATACTACTGAGTATTTTCCATAGTGACTGTACCAATTTACATTCCTATCAACAGGTAGGAGGGTTCCCTTCTCTCCACACCCTCTCCAACCTTTTGTTATTTGTAGGTTTTTTGATGATGACCATTCTGACCGATGTGAAATGGTACCTCATTGTAGTTTTGCTTTGCATTTCTCTAATCATTAGCAATGTGGAGCATCTTTCCATGTGCCTATTGGCCATCTGTATGTCTTCTTTGGAGAAATGTCTGTTTGGGTCTTCTGCCCATTTTTTGATTGGGTTGTTTATTTTTTTGTCATTGAGTTGTAGGAGCTGTTTGTATATTTTGGAAATTAAGCCGTTGTCGGTCACATTGCAAATATTTTCTCCCAGTCCATAGGCTGTCTTTCATTTTGTTTATGGTTTCCTTTCCTGTGTAAAAGCTTATAAGTTTAGGTCCCATTTGTTTATTTTTGCTTAAGAAAACATTGGTATAGCAACAGAAAAAAAAAAAAAAGAAAACATTGGTATGATTTATGTCAGTGTGGTATACTCCAGAGCCCAGCTCAACACAGAGGTGTCTCTGGGGCTGTCAGGGTTCTTTGGAGAAGCAGAACCAGTAGGATGTGTATGTATGTATGTATGTATGTATGTATGTATGTATGTATGTATGTATGTGTGTGTGTGTGTATGACAAGGAATTGGCTTGAGCAATAATGGAGGCTGAGAATTCCCAAGATCTGCAGTAGGCCAGCTGGAGGCCCAGGAGAGCTGAAGGTGTAAATTCCAGTCTGAGTCTGAATCCAAAGGCAGGGGAAGATTGATGTCCCAGCTCAGAAACATGCAGAAAGAACAGATTCTCCCTTACTCAGGCTTTTTGTTCTATACAGGCCTTCAGTGGATTGGATGAGGCCCACCGACACTGGGGAGGGCAATCTGCTTTATTCAGTCTACTGATTCAGATGTTAATCTCATCCAGAAAATCCTCACAGACACAACCAGAATAATGTTTAAACCAAATATCTGGACACCCTGTGGCCCAGTCAAGTTGTCACGTAAAATTAACCATCACAGCTACATATGTGACATATGAGAATTCCTGAACAAATGGAAAAAAGATGATTTTATTTGGAAAGCTCAACATTTAAGAGATGTTAATTCTCTTTAAGTTTATTTATAAAGTTAACATGCTCCCAATAAAAATACCAACAGGAATTTTTGGAATTTGATGAGCTGATTCTAAATTTCATATGGTAAAATGAACACGTAAGAATAGCCAAGGAGGAATATTTTTAAAAAGAAGCCCTGTCAGGTACTAAAATATATCAATGGGCTCAGGGCTGTCTTTCAAGCCCTGCTGCCAGTATTCTTCACCTGTTCTGACCCCTCAGAAGGCCTCACTGCCTTCTCTCTGATCCTTGATCACACAGGGCATACTCCTGCCACAGGACCTTTGCTCCGACGTTTGGCTATTTGAAAGATGTGGGTTGCTCCTGTTTCAGTACCTCTTGCCTATTTAATTTCTATTTAATCATCACTTCTTTAGGGAAATCTTTCCTTCCACCTCCCTAATTTTAAGTCACTTTCCTTTGTTGTCTGTTTCTTTCTTTGCTTGAATTTATTTCAGTTTGTAATTACACAATCACCAGCGTGGTTGTTTGATAAATGCTCTTTTTCTTATTAGACTGTAAGCTCAGTGCCTGACCCAGAATAGGCTTTTCGTAAACACTTGCTGATGAATAATCTCGAGGCTGCTGGACTTTGAAAGGTGATTTAGATCCTAGCACCTGTCTTCTAAACTCAGTAATCAAGAGTCCTCCTCACGTAGGCCCTGCTCCAGTGTCAAAGGTAATAATATCTTAATATGTGGTTTCTTTCGCCCATGAGCATGTGAAGATGCTAATGCTTTTGGTGGTGTCCTGAATTACACTGTAACCTCCTCAGATAAAGGCCCCCTTCTGAACTGTCTCAGGGGCTCTTAATATTATATCCAACGGACACTATTTTTTCATAAGAAAGAGATATAAAATTATAGTATGACTATGTCATGTCCTAAAAAATCATGTTAGTCAATGAAAGAAATAATCATAGCCATTAAGAAACTTACTTCCCTAAGGAATTTTAGAAAATGGTCCGTACGTGCTGTAGCTCAGACCTCTTGTAGGTGACCTAGGTCCTCACGTGGCTTATTCTGGAAAATATTGCTGGAGTGTTTAGGGTGGAAAAGTTCCTTCTGAATGCTGGGTGAGGCTGAACAGGATGTGGTTCTCTTAACAGATGCAGTTAATTGTTTTATGCTTTCTCCCCGGGACTACATGCCTACCATCTTCTTGCATATGTTGTAATCGACAAACACTGGCTGTTACTAAGTGCGCTGAAGGTTTTGTTTAGCATTTTGTGGATTGAAACACACTAGTCATGACAACGCTTGTTGTGAAGTTCAGGGCTTTAAGATGACTTTGCATTCATGAGTGTTTCCAAACAGTAGGCTTTGGCAGTTCAGTAGCCAGGCAGAATCATAAACAGGTTTTACTGGTGTGTCCCCCGAGGACACTAGATATTCCAGGGAAACCCTCCTTTATGTGACCTCTTTCATATTCCTTCAAAAATGAATGGCTTTCTTGTATGTCTTTCACAAAGACCCCAGGCCCTGGAAACTTCATAGAGGTGGGTATCTGTCCAAACTCTGGAATAATTCTTTCAGAAAGCAGGTGTTATGGCATGAATAGGACAGAAACAGAACCAGAGGTTACATACTGACCCACAACCCAAACCCATCAAATCTGCTCTGCAGATGTGTTTATTGGGATCATATGGTGTCTTTTTTTAAATTTAAATTAATTACCCAGAGGCAAAAACTGGGAATTTTTACTTCAAAAAGCCCAAATATAGGACTTGTCTTGAAAAATTAGAGTAATGAAGCCATGCTGGGATCCATATTTCTGCACTGGCAGCCATCAGTGGAGCTGAGAACTGTTCCCTTCTGGATGGAGAAGGACTCCAGGCATGACCACTATCTCTGGCCTCAGGCATTCATCTGAGTAACCTTCAAACCCCCAAGATAGGGCTTTCCTGGTGGCGCAGTGGTTAAGAGTCTGCCTGCCAGTGCAGGGGACACGGGTTCGAGCCCTGGTCCGGGAACATCCCACATGCTGTGGAGCAACTGAGCCCATGTGCCACAACTACTGAGCCTGCACTCGAGAGCCCTTGAGGCACAACTACTGAAGCCTGTGCTCTGCAGTAAGAGAAGCCACTGCAATGAGAAGCCCACTCACCGCAACCAAGAGTAGCCCCCGCTCACCGCAACTAGAGAAAGCCGGCGTGCAGCAACGAAGACCCAACGCAGCCAAAAATAAATAAATAAATAAACAAAAAGAAAAACCCAAGATAGGCTATGAGATTGAGGATAAATGGCATAGTGGATAATTATGAAGGAGACAGACTTCTATACTTAAATCACAGGGTCTCTTTGATAAACACATGAAACTCTTATTCAACAGACCAGAGATGAGTTGATAATCTTTGTAGTCTGGAAACAGAAGAACAATAAAAACTGCCTCCTGTTAACCATCTCTTCTGGTGGTTCTTTGTTGTTGCTATCTGTTCTGCTCAGAGGTCAAATAACATTGGAGTTGGGCGGAAGGAAACTCTGTAAAGTGTCAAAGGCCAAATCTTTTTTTTAATATTTTATTTTATTTATGTATTTATTTTTGGCTGTGCCAGGTCTCTGTTGTGGCATGCGGGATCTTTGTTGCAGCATGCGGGATCTAGTTCCCTGACCAGGGATCGAACCCCGGCCCCCTATATTGGGAGTGTGGAGTCTTACCCACTGGACCACCAGGGAAGTCCCCCAAGGGGACATACTAACTCTTAAATGTCAAACTCCACTACCGTCCTGGGGGAGCCTATCCTTCGTTCCTGGGCTGCCTCCTGCTTCCCTTAGAATTTTGAGAAGGAGAATGAAATAATCTGAACCAAACACATCTCTGGGCAGCCTTTCCAACATATTTGGACTACAAAGAATGCTTCTGTACTGAATCTTGCTTTGCACAGCTGCATATGGAAAAGATTGTTTAACTCTCCTTTGTATATTTTGTCTTTTGGGGAACCCTATCAGGAAACTTATAATCATCTCTTGGAAGTCGCAGTTACTTGGGAGCAGTTCAACCACTATCGGAATGTGGCCGAGGCTGCCCGGAGTGAACTTGCAGCAACTCTGGTCAAATTTGAATCTGCTCAGTCTGAGGTGAGAGTCTGCATCTTCATAACTCACAAATGGCCTTGTTAGCTTCTTATGGAGTGAAGCAGAGTGTAGAGGTGATTAGAAATAGGACAAAGGGAAAGA